AGACCTGGATTTACCGACAAGAGATTTTGATTGCATGTTATTACATTGCATTTTGAATCACCCTGTATCATTATTCACTATATATACTATACGCTCAAAGACCTGGATTTACTGACAAGAGATTTTGATTGCATGTTATTACATTGCATTTTTGAATCACCCTGTATCATTATTCACTATATATACTATACGCTCGAAGACCTGGATTTACCAGCAAGCAATTTTGATTGCATGTTATTACATTGCATTTTTGAATCACCCTGTATCATTATTCACTATATATACTATACGCTCGAAGACCTGGATTTACCGGAAAGAGATTTTGATTGCATGTTATTACATTGCATTTTGTATCACCCTGTATCATTATTCACCACACTAAACGCTCAGAAACCTGGATTTACCGGCATGCAATTTTGATTGCATGTTAATACATTGCATTTTGTATCACCCTGTATCATTATTCACCATATTCTATCCGCTCAAAGACGTAGATTTACCGGCAAGCAATTTTGATTGCATGTTATTACATTGCATGTTCGCATCACCCTTATCATTATTCAATATACTATACTAAATTATTTAACATCTAGCAGATACACCCACGATTAAATATCACAAACATCTGCTATATTTCATTTATGCATGGACATACATATAGTACAGGGTGGTCAAAAATACGACAATTTATGGGTAATGTCTCCCTTTCAGTGTGTATTTGTCTGTGTAACACATACATAAAACAACATCAATAAATGAAGTTACCACTGGGGTTACCACTGGATGTTTTTCAGCAGAATTACTTGATATATATTTTTCGAATAAACATAAGCGATGCATCGCCACAAACTGTTGATTTAGTAATCATTATAATAATTTATAAACTTTAGCCAGTTCGTTCAATCGATGTAATTGTCAATTGGTTACTTCTGTATCGCTCTTGGTTAGTACGTATGCCAAATACCGCAGGTGAATCTATCATACACCGCAAGTGAATATGCCATATTCGTTGCAAACGGACGGACGGACGGCTTTCCTATATCCCCCTCGAACTTCGTTCGGTGGGGTAATTATTTGAGACTTTAAGCAATGCACATAAAATCGAACGGGAAACCTGTACGTTCAAATCGCACTATACAAATGCATGTAGTTTTCTCACATAAAACAATCGATCGGTCACAGTGTTTACTAATGCCTTGGTCACATTTGCTCCGATTATCACTACGGCGCCCAGGCGATTGAGAATTTTGTTCAAAATTGAATACAATATTGAACAAAACATTCAATCGGGCGGGCGCCGGCCGATGGATCGAGGCAAATGTGACCCAGGCATAACTTAGATTACACATAATCGTGTACTTATGCCATTGGTAATTTTGCAGCTGGTTTTCTATGATACATATTTTAAACATACTCGTTTCGTAAGATATTTAAAGCTTGTTGCAAACAACTAAGAAGGCTGAACCAAAGTAGAAATATACATTAGTTCCAGATTCACACGCATTCCAATAGCCACATAAATATTTTTAATTGATTGAACTTCACAAAAAGAAATTCTCGAGGAAAGAGCACTGCAGTATTATTCATTACATATCCATATATGGCAAAATGTGAGTTGGAACCCTGGGAGCCAATCCTCCTTGATGAATTGATATAGAAAAAATATTTATAAACTATAATGGCAGTGGACAGTCCAACTCAAAAACAGTTCTGAGAATGCTGTTGGAGCTAATTTACAAGATATTGAAATGGCCTGTGTAAATTACCTTAATATTGGAAATGTTGAACTGTGCCGTGAAAGTACAACCAATGACGTCACGAATCTAGTCAATATAGCCTCGCTTCTTTGATTTACCAAAAGGTGGCAGGGTTTATTGAAAAGGTGTATTAGCCCTAAAATGAAAATTATTCTCAATCTTACACAGACACGGGTACACAGCATGAACAAACCACACATTTCTATTGATATTCTTTTATTTAAAAATATATCAGTTTGACTGGCAAACAAAATGCCATGGTATTTTACATAAGGTTGACATTTGTACATGTTATTTGTTGTATAAAATCACATTTTCATATAGAGATCACATTTTATGTATTTGCACTGTTTTTACATCTAGTATATTACACTTAGGCGGTCACAGGGTCAAATCATAATTATGAGATTGTTTGGAGTGGCATGTTTTGGCCAGATGTTGATTTCCTGACTACCCCTAATAGAATCGGAACCAATTTTTGTTATAGTGGTCCAAAACATAAAATAAATTGTATGGTTATCTTTTTTAGAGATATAGAGATAAAATATACAATTCTAAAGTTAAAATGACCTTGTTTATACATTAGCCACTGCTATTTTACAAATATTATCTAAATCAACTAAAATTATTTAAAAAGATACTGCAAACATATACCGTACATGTGAGTGGTCATACCAGAGCACTAGTATATGTACATTAAATTGCACTGTGCAATTTCTATTTGGATTTAAAAACAGTTTCTTAATGAAGAATTTGCATAGAAAATGGCAAGATTTTACTAGCATTTTATTCATCACTAAAATCACTTGGTACTGTCCAGATCTTTTCCTACTGTGAACATGTTCTCAGTACCATAGGCTCAATGATTACCCTTTGCATTCGTTTGACTTCACTTCTTAAAAGAGAGCTTCGTCTTCGTAGTTTAACTAGACTCTGCACGCAGGGTACTCAATAGAGAGGTTAAGCAAATACGGTTTTTCAAAACGTATACGTAAACGCAAAGTACATTGAATCAACATAGGATTGTATCGCTTTAGTCTACTTCAGATACCCGTTCAACTTCAAAGTTGCGTGTTTAGAACGGGAGATTTACATATTTCACGTTGCTATCAACGGGAATCATTATACGCATGTCTGTTGAATACTATCCTTGCAATTTTGATTTCGATGCAGAGTATAATTCTTTCTGAAGAAGATGATGTATGTTACGCATGATTTAACTCCAATAATCTTACGAAACGAGCTCGTTTAAAATATGTATTAGAAAACCAGCTATTGAACTTCATCAATGGCATACTATGTAATCATTACAAGCTATGGTGTAGTCTAAACAAACACTAGAGCTGAACGGCTATTTATGTGTGAACTCTACATGTATTTGTATAGGGGCCATTGATACGTTTAAGTTGCGTTCTGGATTTTATACGGTAGCTTAAGCTCTCCAGTGATGGGCCTCATTCCCCTAAATGACCCCGTATCCACATACTTTGATACATTGTTACTTTTTTCAAGGACACCCTGGATTTTGAGACTTTGCAATCTTATGTAACTTTCTATGAGGAACAAAATGATATATAACATGACAGGCTGGCATTTCTACAGATATGACTTTAGAGGGGGGGGGTGCATACATATGCAGTATACAGTAAAACCTGTCTATTCTGATTTCGCTGGGACCAAATAAAAGTGTTAAGATAAGAAGGAATTAACCATAAGGTTTTCTTAACATTTGATTAAATGGGAGGTAAAAAAATTGGGAAAGGGTATTCAAATAAGAAGGTATTAACCTTTCAAGGTTTTCTTAATATGTTATTAAATGGGCGGTAAAAGTAAAAAATTGGGAATGAGAAAAAGTGTACAGATACACATACGAGATGTATTATGGCCTTTGCATTAGCTATGGTACTGTATGTAAGTTCACAATAGGATAAACCATGTATGAACCATTGTTAAAGGAATACTATATCCATGACATCTTTTGTCTTCACATTGATATCATATAAATAAAATTTGGACGTAGTGTTCCTTTTACAAATTCTATCTCATTTCTATCTTATTTTTTTATCATACAACAGATCAAATGGATAAATACACAATTCACAAGTACACAATTGTGACTAAAAATAAACATTTATAAAGTAAATCCATGATATGCCATAGAGTTCCACCTGATTCTAAAACCTGCTAAAATATTTTGTGCAAATTCTGTATATGAATGAAAATTCAGAAATTGTAAACTTAGTGAAATTGAGAAACTGCAAGTGGAATGTCATGACCTACTAAAATGTTCAATGTGTCTTGCGCCTTCACTAACTTCCAGAAATTGTAAAACTCTAGTTTCAAGAAATGAAACTTAAAAATTGCCATGGAATTCATGACAAACTAAAATGTTTTTGTGATTGGAGGGAGCATTTGTTGAGTATTCCAGTTGCTATGGTTACAAAAGAGGTTTCTTCGACCTGAAAAATATAAAAGAGGTATACATAGAGTTTGCAGAATCAAAGAGTCTGATCTCCAACATAAAGCTAGCATTTGATTAAATCTGATAAGATAAAATGCCACAGCTTTAGCTCTGTAAAATATTGTTTAAAATTTTTAAAATATAATAGGGTCGGGTAGAATTGAATACAAATTCTATTAGCATTTTAACTTCAGATTAAGTTCATATTTATTTCGAAATTAACAATATAAATTTGAAAAGCATGCTGGGATACTTACTCATCCTCCAGTGCACGGAGTCTCTTTCTCTCCCATGAAGATCTGTTAAGTTTACCCCCCTGCGTTTGATCAAGTATATATAGCACCACACTAGCAATCAAGGCCACTGAAATCATTGAATAGACTTTGTTAATTAAGATCTGTTAAGTTTACCCCCCTGCGTTTGATCAAGTATATAAAGCACCACACTAGCAATCAAGGCCACTGAAATCATAGAAAAGACTTTGTTAATTAAGGTCTGTTAAGTTTACCCCCCTGCGTTTGATCAAGTATATAAAGCACCACACTAGCAATCAAGGCCACTGAAATCATAGAAAAGACTTTGTTAATTAAGGTCTGTTAAGTTTACCCCCCTGCGTTTGATCAAGTATATATAGCACCACACTAGCAATCAAGGCCACTGAAATCATTGAATAGACTTTGTTACTTAAGGTCTGTTAAGTTTACCCCCTTGGGTCTGATCAAGTATATATAGCACCACATTTGCGATAAGGGCCACTGAAATCATTGAATAGACTTTGTTAATTAAGATCTGTTAAGTTTAACCCCCTGCGTTTGATCAAGTATATATAGCACCACACTTGCGATTAAGGCCACTGAAATCATTGAATAGACTTTGTTAATTAACCTCTTGACTACCAAGAATGAAACCCAGAGGGACGAGAAAATCCGTCACAAAATTGTTCACAAGAATTGCTCTTATTTGAAGAATTTTCGTCCAATTCACACAAAAATTGTTTTAAAATGTGTAGAAATGATCTCTGCCATCTAATCTTACTAAGTTAAGCATCTAAAGTTATAAAGGTATGTAGTAAAATGTCAAAAGGTGGCAAAAATGAAAAATTCTCTGGTTTCAACCAATTTAAGATGCCCGGGATTCAAGGGGTTAAGGTCTGTTTAGTTTACCCACTTGGGTCTGATCAAGTATATATAGCACCACACTAGCGATTAAGGCCACTGAAATCATTGAATAGACTGTTAACTGTCATTCTATAGGAACTAGAAAAACAGCAGGTTATCAAAAATTACATTGATTTCATGAAATATTGCTGACATTTTGAATTCAGAAGTCATCTTGATAATTTCTTATTAAAGGCAGAATCAGATCTAGCAAGATCCTGATATGACTGATGACAAGTCTTGACAAAAATATTTCAATTTAAGAACATTCTCTATTTTCTAAAAATACCCAAAGTGTATACTGTATTTGAGGAAAACTTTAGATTTTTACAATAAAACTCATAATGTATTATTTTTCTATTTCTATGTTTACTGTTTTCATTATTTGGGAGAATTTAGACATTTTTTCCCAATGTGCACTAAGAATCCTTAAAAACTTAACCAAATCACATATATCATGGACCTTTTGGGAGATATTGCTGTTTGTCACTCCCAATAGATCTGATTCTCCCTTTACTTAGTGGTCCTAAATGTCCCTTAGGCATTGGCATATATTTGAACTAAATTTATTTAGTAGTATTTGAGTAATCAAAAATTCCATTTTTCATGAAAAATGGTGGCCATTTTGAATTCATCATAATTTTTTTTTCTTAGCTCCAGACCATTTGGTCAACTTGTATTTGAGTTATGAAAGATTACATTATCATGAAAATGGTGGCCATTTTGAATTCATCATAATATTTTCTTCTTAGCTCCAGACCATTTGGTCAACTTGTATTTGAGTTATGAAAGATTACATTATCATGAAAATGGTGGCCATTTTGAATTCATCATAATATTTTCTTCTTAGCTCCAGACCATTTGGTCAACTGGTATTTGAGTTATGAAAGATTATATTATCATGAAAATGGTGGCCATTTTGAATTCATCATAATATTTTCTTCTTAGCTCCAGACCATTTAGTCAACTTGTATTTGAGTTATAAAAGATTACATTATCATGAAAATGGTGGCCATTTTGAATTCATCATAATATTTTCTTCTTTGCTCCAGACCATTTGGTCAACTTGTATTTGAGTTATGAAAGATTATATTATCATGAAAATGGTGGCCATTTTAAACAGCAACTAAACTGGAAATTAATCCTAATTCAGAAGTTCTAACTGCCATTAAGGCATCAGCTTATAAACTGAACAAAATCCATCAACAATAATTTCAGTTACTATTCAGAGAGATGGACGGATGGACAAATGGCTTGACAGCTTCTCTATGTACCTACTCAAACTGCATTCAATGCAATATTTAACTTTTTGACTAGACCACTTGCTTGGCTGGTCTCATAAATCTACAAAGAATGGCCCTAAGGCAAATAGTAGAGGTCTAACTGTTAATTCAGACTTATTTTTTACTATTAATCACATGATTCTATCTGCATAGCACATCAGACCTTTAAGGCTACAATTAAATATTCAAGTACATAATACAATTAAGTCGATTTCCAAAATTCACTCTGTTCTATTTTATTTGAAAACCATACATGCAATTTCAAATCAGTTTTACAATCCATTATGCTGTACTCTTTGAGATTCTGTAAAAAATGTCACATTAAGACAGTGTTTATTCTTTTTTCAATTGCGATTGGGTACGTGATATTGTCCTTCAAAAGATATTACAGTTTTAATGATGTAAAACTGATACATGGCAAGTCTCAATCAATGTTTAAGACAGCAATAGGGGATGTGGAAAAATTAACAGACTTCATTATTTCAAAACCTAGACGAGATGATATAACTGCACTAAATAATGGACTAAATGGTGTAACTGTTCTAAATGATAAACATGATGGCCTCACTACGCTAAATACTTCGCTGAATGGTGTCACAACACTAAATAATAAAAAACAGGATGGTGTGATAACACCAAATGATGGACATGATGGTGTAAATACACTAAACAAATACCCAGATCTTATGAGTGCGTTATATCCTGAACTCAATGATGTGAAGAAACAGAATTTAAGTATGAAGTCCAAAAAGTTTCCAGGACTAATCATAATTGGAATACAAAAATGTGGCACAGGTGCTCTGGATTCCTATCTGAAGATACACCCGAATATGAGGCCCCATAAAGGAGAGGTCCATTTCTTTGACACGATGATTAACCATAACAAACCAATCAATTGGGACCATCAATTCAAACTGTACCTCAATGAACTTCCGAAAGCGTACACCAATGAGATTGTTATGAGAAGACGCCATCATATTTTGAGAAGGCTGATCCATATGATATGTATAAAATGAACCCTGCATTGAAGTTGATTTTATTAGTTTGTGACCCTGTAAGGAGAACAATGTCTGCATTTTTGCATTATTTAGAAAAGAATCGATATCCAGTAAACACAACATTTTCATAAAAATGGAAGTATTAATGAATCGTCTGAACTCATACAGCGAGGTGTATATGATATATCCTTACAAAAATATCAAAAATATTTTCCCTCAGATCAATTACTCATTTTGGAGAACACATTTTTAATGGAACATCCAACTCGAGCAATGCAAGAAATTGAAAAATTCCTCAAATTAGAGCATTTTTATACAGACATTTTTCTTGAATGAAAAAACTGGATATTTCTGTATTAACAACAATGATGACGGAAAAACAGGTTGTCAAAATAAAGAAAAATACAAAACTCATCCTAAGATAAGTGGAGAAAATATTTTTAAACTTAAACAATATTTTCAAAGGAGTAATATCAATTTCATGAAGCTATCAGGAAAGTTTATGCAATCTCTCCAATATTTCTAACTACTTTACATCTCTTGTACTTTGTGTTGTCTTCTGCAGAAAACATGTTGCATTATGGGTAAGTGCTCAAAGGAGTAATAATTTGATGAAGCTATCAGGAAAGTTTATGCAATCTCTCCAGTATTTTTAAGAACTTTACATTTTACATCACTCATACTGTGTGTTGTCTTCTGCAGAAAAAATGTTGCATTATGGGTAAATGCTTACATACATGTAGAAACAGTTCACCAATGGCGATATTTAGCATTTACATGACAATCTCAGGGTTTGTTTCATTGAAAAAAAAATCAGCAATGAAAAACTTTAATGCTTTTGTAATTTGACCCTAAATTCGATTAAATAAGATGGTTGCCTATTGTTCCTTAAAGTATTTTATTAGTAAAAAGGGAAATAAATGATAACGCTATTTTTTGAAATTGTTATGTACATGTTTATCAAAACCAGGTGAAGCACCCTCTTTGTTCAACTCACCAAATAGCCAAGCCATGAAGAAGACCTCCAGCAAAAGGTATCCCTTGGCATCAACTATATCTCCAGCCACGATTGCGATGACAGCTAAACCTAAGTTCTGTATAGCCTGCATTCTAAAAGAATTAATATTACAAATCCTCTAGATGTCATTCATCATTTTTTAATATCAGGTTATGTTTACTTAGGTTAAAAACACACATAAGGGAGGAGGGTAAAATCAGTTTTTTTAATCCTGTTTTCAATTCAGTTTGTTCATTCATTGTCTGCTATATAGTATTTTTACTATTTCTCTGTCACTATAAAAGCTGCAATTGACTAGTAACAGGCCTGTAGCCAAGGGGGGGGGGGGGGGGGGGGGGGGTTCAAAATCATGCAGTTTTTAATAAAATTCTTTTACAGTGATTCTTGACCAAAGTTGTCAAATGTGAAGCCCCATGGAATTTTTTGAAAAGTAAATCCCCCTGGAAAAAGTGGGCTAAGGGCCTGAGTGAGTGTTTTAGAGTGTATGTGCTACTTCAGTAATGTGATCCTAATGCAAGTCTATTGCCTAATAAAGTAAAAACCTGTTAGCTCGAACACCTGTGTTAGCGGAACTCTTCAGTCCCAAAACCACTTGACTTAATGCTTGATGAACCTCTTTAAGTGGAACACCTCCCAAGTGGAACACTTTAGAGGTACCAAAGGTATTCCAAAAATACAGGTTTCATTGTATTAAGATTATTATTATTATAAGAGAAAAGTGACTTTATAACTAACTTACATTCCATATGCAGTACCAAGTTGGTGTTCAGGTACTATGAAAGCCACCATTGGCCACAGTGCACTTGCTAATATAGAGTAGGCCACTCCCATTGTTACCTGAAAATATGAATTATACACAATTATTCAGGTACTATGAAAGCCACCATTGGCCACAGTGCACTTGCTAATATAGAGTAGGCCACTCCCATTGTGACCTGAAAATATGAATTATATGCAATTATTCAGGTACTATGAAAACCACCATTGGCCACAGTGCACTTGCTAATATAGAGTAGGCCACTCCCATTGTAACCTGAAAATATGAATTATATGCAATTATTCAGGTACTATGAAAGCCACCATTGGCCACAATGTACTTGCTAATATAGAGTAGGCCACTCCCATTGTGACCTGAAAATATGAATTATATGCAATTATTCAGGTACTATGAAAGCCACCATTGGCCACAATGCACTTGCTAATATAGAGTATGCCACTCCCATTGTAACCTGAAAATATGAATTATATGCAATTATTCAGGTTTGCTAATATAGAGTAGGCCACTCCCATTGTTACCTGAAAATATGAATTATATGCAATTATTCAGGTACTATGGAAGCCACCATTGGCCACAATGCACTTGCTAGTATAGAGTAGGCCACTCCCATTGTGACCTGAAAATATGAATTATATGCAATTATTCAGGTACTATGAAAGCCACCATTGGCCAGAGTGCACTTGCTAATATAGAGTAGGCCACTCCCATTGTAACCTGAAAATATGAATTATATGCAATTATTCAGGTACTATGAAAGCCACCATTGGCCACAATGCACTTGCTAATATAGAGTAGGCCACTCCCATTGTAACCTGAAAATATGAATTATACACAATTATTCAGGTACTATGAAAGCCACCATTGGCCAGAGTGCACTTGCTAATATAGAGTAGGCCACTCCCATTGTAACCTGAAAATATGAATTATACACAATTATTCAGGTACTATGAAAGCCACCATTGGCCACAATGCACTTGCTAATATAGAGTAGGCCACTCCCATTGTGACCTGAAAATATGAATTATATGCAATTATTCAGGTACTATGAAAGCCACCATTGGCCACAATGCACTTGCTAATATAGAGTAGGCCACTCCCATTGTGACCTGAAAATATGAATTATATGCAATTATTCAGGTACTATGAAAGCCACCATTGGCCACAATGCACTTGCTAATATAGAGTAGGCCACTCCCATTGTGACCTGAAAATATGAATTATATGCAATTATTCAGGTACTATGAAAGCCACCATTGGCCACAGTGCACTTGCTAATATAGAGTAGGCCACTCCCATTGTGACCTGAAAATATGAATTATATGCAATTATTCAGGTACTATGAAAGCCACCATTGGCCAGAGTGCACTTGCTAATATAGAGTAGGCCACTCCCATTGTAACCTGAAAATATGAATTATATGCAATTATTCAGGTACTATGAAAGCCACCATTGGCCACAGTGCACTTGCTAATATAGAGTAGGCCACTCCCATTGTGACCTGAAAATATGAATTATATGCAATTATTCAGGTACTATGAAAGCCACCATTGGCCACAATGCACTTGCTAATATAGAGTAGGCCACTCCCATTGTGACCTGAAAATATGAATTATATGCAATTATTCAGGTACTATGAAAGCCACCATTGGCCACAATGCACTTGCTAATATAGAGTAGGCCACTCCCATTGTGACCTGAAAATATGAATTATACACAATTATTCAGGTACTATGAAAGCCACCATTGGCCACAATGCACTTGCTAATATAGAGTAGGCCACTCCCATTGTAACCTGAAAATATGAATTATATGCAATTATTCAGGTACTATGAAAGCCACCATTGGCCACAATGTACTTGCTAATATAGAGTAGGCCACTCCCATTGTGACCTGAAAATATGAATTATATGCAATTATTCAGGTACTATGAAAGCCACCATTGGCCACAATGCACTTGCTAATATAGAGTATGCCACTCCCATTGTGACCTGAAAATATGAATTATACACAATTATTCAGGTACTATGAAAGCCACCATTGGCCACAATGCACTTGCTAATATAGAGTAGGCCACTCCCATTGTTACCTGAAAATATGAATTATACACAATTATTCAGGTACTATGAAAGCCACCATTGGCCACAATGCATAAGGGTTATGTACTGGGAGGTTTTGGATATGGGGTTTATCCAGAGGGAGATATATAAGTTATTTACTGGGAGGGATTGAATATGGGTTTTATTCCGAGGGACAATATGATATTGACCGAAGGGTGATATGATATTGACCGAGGGAGCGCAGCGACCGAGTGTCAATATCATATTGCCCAAGGTCAATATCATATTTTCCGAGGAATGAAACCCATATTCAATCCCGACCAGAAATAACCTATTTATTCCATAATACACCCCTCTAAAATGCTACATTTGGATAATGCAAATAACCGGGAAAAAATAATCGGGAAACCGTTAATAGGCTAAAATGCTCCAATACGATTTTCATCCCGGGGACAATACGATTTTTTCATGTAATACGCTCCAATACGATTTTTTTCCCGGGGACAATACGATTTTTTCATGTAATACGATTCAATACGATTTTTATTCCTTCATATTTCCCTGGGAAAACAGTAGTATTATGGAATAAATGCATATCTTACTGAGGGACCGTAGGGACCGAAGGTAGATGTGCATATCTCACGAGGGATGAACCCAATATCCAAACCGACCGTACATAACTGCTTTATCCTATACCAAGTAGAGTTTTCAGGGGCATATGGCCATTTCAATAGTACAAGGTGTAAAAATAAACAAATCATTAATAAGCTAAGTCATTTTATTTATATTATAAAAAAAAAAAAAAAAAATTGAAAAAATGCGAAAAAAAATTTGAAAAAAAAATTTGAAAAAAATTTTGAATAAAAAAATTGAAAAAAAAATTTTGAAAAAAAAATTTGAAAAAAGATATTGAAAGATTTTTAAATGTGACGTGAAATTACCGGAAGCGGGAAGATATGCACCGAAGCGGGAGATATGGCGGGAGATATGGAGGTTCTGGATATGGAAACCTCAAAATCAGGATACAGGATATATCTTACCAACTTATCACCCTAAAACTCTACTTGGCATTGGATAAACTTGCTTATATAGAGAAGGCCACTCCCATTGTAACCTCAAAATATGAGTTATATACAATTATTCAGGTACTATGAAAGCCACCATTGGCCACAATGCACTTGCTAATATAGAGTAGGCCACTCCCATTGTGACCTGAAAATATGAATACAATGCAATTATAGATATATCCTTGTCTATCAAAGTTTTATCAAGACTCCTTTAATGGCAATTTGAAGTCTGAAGTAGTTTATATAGAGAATCTATAGAGGTCTATACAAAAGTAAGGATATTTTAGTGCGTAGAATTAAGAACGTGGCAAAAAAAAGATTAGGCATTAACTTAAATATATCACCATCTGGTTGCAATAACAAACAAAAATCACCAACACTGAATTGTTGTCCAAAAAAGTGGTCACAATGCAAAAAATGGTGGTGAGATAAAGATGAAACGGGAACTGATCAATGATTTTGTTTTATATTATATTTAGTTAATGAATTCCCGCAAATTGAAAGAATGTAAATTACCCTTAGCTCTTGTCCAGTGTACTTACCATAGGCACATATGGATTAATAAATCTTTTTTATATCCCATTCGGCTAATGAATTGTCTCAAACTGGGATAGAGTACAGTGGGTGCTTTTCAAAGTGTACTCACCATAGGCACATATGGATTGATGAATGTAAAAGCCATACAAGCGTGGCACCCTGCAGTTGTCACCACGCCAACAATAACCCAGAAAATATTTAAACCCGTCTTGTCAACTAATAATCCACAAATCGGTGATACTACTGCAGACAGAATGTAAACAATACTGAAATTAGAAATAATGTGTTTACAGTTAATTCATAAATAAACAAGCATATGTTGCATTGCGACACAGACTTTGAATATACTGTCATTGGAATTCAAAATGTATTTGTGTATTGTTCTTTATATTCTTTTGAAAAGAACTTAATCTAAAATGAGTGGAATAGATTGAATGGGTTAGATTGAATACAATTTTAGAATCAATGTTACATTACTGCAGATAGCTATCAATTAACAATTTCAATCAATCAACAATGTTTTACTATACAGGTTACAGTATTTAGATAATAGACGTCATTAAACTATGATACATTTCACTCCTAAGAATGTTCAAAATGAAATGACTCACCTATTAACAGCCCCTGCTGCTCCTGGCTCCATACCAAACTTTGACTCAAAAAACACCCTGGAAAAACAAGGTATAATAAGTCAAGAAATGCCTAAATACTCCGAGGCCGAGGCACCAGTAGTAATGAATATATTCTAGAGAGCTAGGAGATATACAGTAAAGCCTGTCTAAGTGGAACACCTTTGGTACCTCTAAAAATGTTCCATTTGGGATGTGTATAAAAGTTCATTTAACTCTGAAAAGTGTTCCAACAACAGAGGTGCTTCACTTCTTCTAGAGGTGTTCAACTTAACAGGTTTCACTGTAATTCAAACCTTACCTTCTTTCCAACTCTCTGCCAATTTATTTTATCTTTTATCATAGTAGTTGAAATAATAAAACCAGTCCACTAAACAATAATAAATAGTCAATAAAACACCTTTTATAAGACAGTAAAACCTGACTACATGGAACACCTTTGGTATCTTATGTGTTCCACTTAGGAGTTGTTCCACTTTATAGAGGTTCATTTAACATTAGGTCAGTTGGTCAAGGGACTCTCAAAAGTGTTCCACTAAGTTATGAATTTGTAAATCAATTGTTGTAACCATGGATATAATGACATCCCAGTTAGGGAACAATGGACTTTATCAATTCCTAATTACTTTAAGAAGTTTCTGTTAATGGCCCCATGGTTTTATAAAATGGACGCCTTTGATGAAATGTCAACTTTGATGCAGTACTAGTCTCTATGTAAATTTTAGAAATGAAGGACACTTACAATCCTAGTCCTATAAATGGGAAGACTGTTACATAGTAAGCCACACATATAACACAAATCAGCCAGAATGAAGCTGGAAAGTCTTTTACATCTGTTATCTTTATAACTTCACCTGCAATATGACAAACATCATTATGACATATAATTTACAAGTGCACAAAACACCATCCTCAAAAAAGTTGGAGACTAAAATGGATGGAAAAGTGGATGATTCCATTGGACAAAAAGTCAATTTTTCAAAACAAAGCAAAATTGCTGAATGCTAGTCGGGAATGAGAATGGATGGAATAATGGGCATTATATGAGCCCACATTTATACAGGATTAATTCTATGTCAATGAAAGTATACCTGTTTTCCCAGCATCTCTGTTGAGTATCTTGGAAGCTCTTCTGTCTAAGTAGCCCAGACTCAGGGCACATATCAGTGATATAATACAGGTACCCACAGCTGAAAAACATGGGATAATATGTGAAAAAGTGTGATAGTAATTATGTAAACATGTGATAAAATATGAAAGTGTCTAAGAACTTGTGATAAAATGTGAAAAGTTGTAAATAAATAATATGTGAAAACATGTGATAATATGTGAAAAGTTGTGATAATACGTGAAAAGTTGTGATAGTTTATGAAAACATGTATATTTTTGAAAATATGGAATAACATCTGAAGAGTTGTAATAGCATATTAAAGGGGGAACTTAAGACAAAAAAAAGATGAGTGGAACTTAGACTTACCCAGCATGAGTACAATTCCTAGGGTTGTATGACTTTGACCATGGCCAAAGGCAGTAGCTGCCCATCTATATACAGGCTGCATTATGTTCATATTCACTGTGCTGCCCTGTATTAAGACAGAATATTTGTAAATATATAATGTGAGGTTATATGGCCAAAGGCAGTAGCTGCCCATCTGTATACAGGCTGCATTATGTTCATATTCACTGTGCTGCCCTGCATTAAGACAGAATATTTGTAAATATATAATGTGAGGTTATATGGCCAAAGGCAGTAGCTGCCCATCTGTATACAGGCTGCATTATGTTCATATTCACTGTGCTACCCTGTATTAAGACAGAATATATGTAAATATATAATGTGAGGTTATATGGCCAAAAGCAGTAGCTGCCCATCTATATACAGGCTGCTTTATATTCATATTCACTGTGCTGCCCTGTATTAAGACAGAATATATGTAAATATATAATGTGAGGTTATATGGCCAAAACCAGTAGCTGCCCATCTGTATACAGGCTGCTTTATATTCATATTCACTGTACTGCCCTGCATTAAGACAGAATATTTGTAAACATATAATGTGAGGTTATATGGCCAAAGGCAGTAGCTGCCCATCTATATACAGGCTGCATTATGTTCATATTCACTGTACTGCCCTGTATTAAGACAGAATATTTGTAAACATATAATGTGAGGTTATATGGCCAAAGGCAGTAGCTGCCCATCTATATACAGGCTGCATTATGTTCATGTTCACTGTGCTACCCTGTATTAAGACAGAATATTTGTTAACATATAATGTGAGGTTATATGGCCAAAGGCAGTAGCTGCCCATCTATATACAGGCTGCATTATGTTCATATTCACTGTACTGCCCTGCATTGAGACAGAATATTTGTAAATATATAATGTGAGGTTATATGGCCAAAGGCAGTAGCTGCCCATCTGTATACAGGCTGCATTATGTTCATATTCACTGTGCTACCCTGTATTAAGACAGAATATTTGTTAACATATAATGTGAGGTTATATGGCCAAAGGCAGTAGCTGCCCATCTATATACAGGCTGCATTATGTTCATATTCACTGTACTGCCCTGTATTAAGACAGAATATTTGTAAATATATAATGTGAGGTTATATGGCCAAAGGCAGTAGCTGCCCATCTATACAGGCTGCATTATGTTCATATTCACTGTACTGCCCTGTATTAAGACAGAATATTTGTAAATATATAATGTGAGGTTATATGGCCAAAGGCAGTAGCTGCCCATCTGTATACAGGCTGCATTATGTTCATATTCACTGTGCTACCCTGTATTAAGACAGAATATATGTAAATATATAATGTGAGGATATATGGCCAAAGGCATTAGCTGCCCATCTATATACAGGCTGCATTATGTTCATATTCACAGTACTGCCCTGTATTAAGACAGAATATTTGTAAATATATAATGTGAGGCTATATGGTCAAAGGCATTAGCTGCCCATCTATATACAGGCTGCATTATGTTCATATTCACAGTACTGCCCTGTATTAAGACAGAATATTTGTAAATATATAATGTGAGGTTATATGGCCAAAAGCAGTAGCTGCCCATCTATATACACGCTGCATTATGTTCATATTCACTGTACTGCCCTGCATTAATACAGAATATTTGTAAATATATAATGCGAGGTTATATGGCCAAAGGCAGTAGCTGCCCATCTATATACAGGCTGCATTATATTCATATTCACTGTACTGCCCTGCATTAATACAGAATATATGTAAATATATAATGTGAGGTCATATGGCCAAAGGCAGTAGCTGCCCATCTATATACAGGCTGCATTATGTTCATATTCACTGTGCTGCCCTGTATTAAGACAGAATATTTGTAAATATATAATGTGAGGTTATATGGCCAAAGCAGTAGCTGCCCATCTATATACCAGGCTGCATTATGTTCATATTCACAGTACTGCCCTGTATTAAGACAGAATATATGTAAATATATAATGTGAGGCTATATGGCCAAAGGCATTAGCTGCCCATCTATATACAGGCTGCATTATGTTCATATTCACAGTACTGCCCTGTATTAAGACAGAATATTTGTAAATATATAATGTGAGGTTATATGGCCAAAAGCAGTAGCTGCCCATCTATATAAAGGCTGCATTATATTCATATTCACTGTACTGCCCTACATTAAGATAAAATATATAGGGGTTATGCACTGGGAGGTTTTGGATACAGGGAATATCCCAAGGGATATACAATATATCTTCCCTCGGTCCCTTCGGTCCCTCGGGAAGATGTATTGTATATCCCAAGGGATATTCCATGTATCCAAACCGACCGTGCATAACTGGTGTATCTCATACTTGAGTGGGTTTAGGGTAGATATAACCCTTTCCACCTTTTTCAAATGACAAGATATTTATATTTAACATTTTTGTAATATTCTTTTTGTTCAATACAATGAAATTGTAACATTTAAACTTAAAAAAATTAAATTTTAAAATTAAAAAATTAAAACTAATGATATTTAAACTTTTGAAAAATCCCCGGGAGCGGGATGGATAAATTATATCTGCCCGCATTTGGCCTGGAGCGGGACATATACAATATATCCTGCCCGCTCCTCAGATACAATATATATTCCCGGGTGATATCTACCCCAAACCCACTCAAGTATGATATACTTGTAAATATATAATGTGAGGTTATATGGCCAAAAGCAGTAGCTGCCCATCTATATACAGGCTGCATTATATTCATATTCACTGTGCTTCCCTGCATTGAGACAGAATATTTGTAAATATATAATGTGAGGTTATATGGCCAAAGGCAGTAGCTGCCCATCTATATACAGGCTGCATTATGTTCATATTCACTGTACTGCCCTGTATTAAGACAGAATATTTGTAAATATATAATGTGAGGTTATATGGCCAAAGGCAGTAGCTGCCCATCTATATACAGGCTGCATTATATTCATATTCACTGTACTGCCCTGCATTAAGACAGAATATTTGTAAATATATAATGTGAGGTTATATGGCCAAAGCAGTAGCTGCCCATCTATATACCAGGCTGCATTATATTCATATTCACTGTACTGCCCTGCATTAAGACAGAATATATGTAAATATATAATGTGAGGTTATATGGCCAAAGGCAGTAGCTGCCCATCTATATACAGGCTGCATTATGTTCATATTCACAGTACTGCCCTGTATTAAGACAGAATATTTGTAAATATATAATGTGAGGTTATATGGCCAAAGGCAGTAGCTGCCCATCTATATACAGGCTGCATTATGTTCATATTCACTGTGCTGCCCTGTATTAAGACAGAATATTTGTAAATATATAATGTGAGGTTATATGGCCAAAAGCAGTAGCTGCCCATCTATATACAGGCTGCATTATGTTCATATTCACTGTGCTGCCCTGCATTGAGACAGAATATTTGTAAATATATAATGTGAGGTTATATGGCCAAAGGCAGTAGCTGCCCATCTATATACAGGCTGCATTATGTTCATATTCACAGTACTGCCCTGTATTAAGACAGAATATTTGTAAATATATAATGTGAGGTTATATGGCCAAAGGCAGTAGCTGCCCATCTATATACAGGCTGCATTATGTTCATATTCACTGTGCTGCCCTGTATTAAGACAGAATATTTGTAAATATATAATGTGAGGTTATATGGCCAAAAGCAGTAGCTGCCCATCTATATACAGGCTGCATTATGTTCATATTCACTGTGCTGCCCTGTATTAATACAGAATATTTGTTATTATGTAATCTATCCACTCTAAAAAATAATTACTTTAGTTTGTATTATCTTTGTATTCACATGTAATTTAATTACTAGGTCAGGTAATTGTTTTTGTCCCAAAGGGTTTTTCATTTTTGTAATTATATTACTAGCATAGTATTATTTTGACTGAATTACTATATTGAGTAATTAAAAAATTACTTGCATTATGAATAATTATACTTATTAAGTAATTATTTTACTCTATTCTATAAGTAATTGTTTTGTTCCAAAGGGTATTTTATATTTGAGGATAACATAACTAAGTAATTATATTACTTAAGTATTGAAATTACCTAATTAGAAATTGAATAATTTGATCACGACTTTTTTCTTTTTTTTAACTTGGCTAGGATTTATTTACATATTATCAAGAGAATTCTTTTGTTCTCAAGTTTCCACATGTCCATGATTACATGCAGCACTTTGAACTAATTGTAACCTTACTTTTGGGGACCAGACCTAATAGTTAACTGAATACCACAAAATGGAGTTTGTCTTATTAGGTTAATATCAAATAGAGTTAGCATTAATTAATTGTATGTTAATCAGCTTCACATAAAATTGACATAGTTCTTTGCAAATTTATAAATTTATAATTTTGTTACAGTTTCTTTTAATAAAGAATTAAATCTTGATTTTAAAAATATTAAAAAACATGATATCAAACTACATTAAGTAATTTAATTACTATTTTAAAAATTTAGAATACTAAGTATTAGAATTACTCAGTATAATCTTATCATTTTATTGCAGTAATTAAACATATTAATTCATTAACATTGCTATTGCTATATAGTAATTCAAATATCAAAAGATTACTTAGTAACGTATTTCCAATTTAATGCAATTAAACTTAGTAATTCCTTTACATTGCTGGTATTATCATATTTCTATAAAGTAATTCAAATATTAAAAAGATTACTCAGTAATGTATTTTGAATTTAGTGCAATTAAACATTTATTTGGTACCATTTATTTACATTGCTAGTATTATAATATTTCAATATAGTACATAATTTGAATGTTAAAAGAATTACTAAATAATGTATTTTCAATTAAATGCTATTAAACATAGTAATTCATTTACATTGCTAGTATTACTATTAATGAAATGTTAAAATGCAAATGGGGAATAAAATTACCTAGTAATATTATTACTATATATGCAAATAAAACAAAAACAGAAACAATTTATTTACAAATAAAGTATTACAATTACTAAAGTAAGTAATTCACACAAATAAACAATTACTAAGTAATATGATTACATTTTAGGTGACACAAGTAATTTATAAATTACTTAGTAATCAATCAAATTACTTCAGCTAGCTGTCAAGTAATATTTTTTTAGAGTGTCTATATTGATATAAACATGGGTTTATCAAAAGGGATCTCATTATCAAGATTTACCACCTGGTAAATCATTGCCAAAGATTACAAAAGTGCAACAAATTGTTACAAATGCCAACTGCTAACCACTGAGTTTTGAGGGTCAATGGTGGATGTAACGATATGTTATTTTTTCTTGTATTGGTGTTGATATGAAAACAGTATATGGGACAATGATTTAAAAAATCAATAAACTCGATTCGAATTTAAATCAAGGAGTTAGATTTTTAGGGTCAACAAACATAATTACTTACAACACGAGAGAAACTAAGCTGTAATCCAAACACCATGTTAAGTTCACGATCTTTGAACCAAGCTACAGCATATGTGTTTTGAGCAACTGCCAAAGATTCCCCGCCAATTCTACAAATATAAACACCATGTTGAGGTCAGTCTTTGAACCATGTTATGGGCAACTGTAAAAAATCCCCACCTATACCAATAATAAAAACAAAAACACCATGTTGAGTTCAGAGTCTTTGACAAACTGCGGCATAATTGTTCTGAGCATATAAAAATATATATCTTAGTTTAAAGTTTGGTTTCAACCAAACAGAGGGTGCTAAGGAACCATATATTCATACATTAACAGAGGTCAATCTTTGGGTAGTCAATATCCAGCAGCTCATGCCTATAGCCAGCTTTTGCCAAGGGGGGGGGGGGTCTCAAAGAATTTTAGGGGGTTCACATTTGACAACTTTGACCCAAAATTAACTGAAAAATACTCAGAATGGTGAAAACTGTATGCATTTGAAGAATTTTTGGAACAGGGGAGGCGCAATGCTAGAATCTCCCTCCCCCTCTGGCTACCAGCATGAGCTGTCTGGAGTTCATGGCAAACATAAGCCATAATCAAGAATATAATTATTTTCAATCATTGCCAGATTATTTTTTCAGAATATACAGAAAAATAACATGGTAATTTGTGAAGTAAATAATTGGCATCTAATTCTGCAACAAGAGATCATAGATAGAGTGTGATTTCCTCTTTTAAGATAAGGGTTAAACATGGACTCACCCAAATACAAATCTTCCAGCATCCATTAGTGGTATACTATTAATGAAGGCACCAAGGGCAAACAGGACCTGTAAATGAGAGAGATATGGAATATATATATTTCGAAAGATAAATGAAGGAAAAATGAAAAGGTGGTGAGAGGTGAAGAAAAAATCAAATGCCTGATTAGCAGGAATAGCTGTGCTTGGTTGGTGATCTCAACTATCTGAACCTTTTTGCATGCCTTTTAAAAGATTTTCTTTCTACATGTATCTGATTCCATGCACATTATGGTTTTCAAAAAGTGTTATTCTCTGCCTTCTACACCTGATTTATATGTGATTCCTAGACTGAATATTCTGACTGGATAATGTACTGTAGGCTAATAAGATAATCAAAATCAGGGCTGCCACAACGTTTTCGAATCAACATTTTTTGAATTTGCTAAAAATCTCTCCCCTGACCATTGGCAATACTGAATACTTAAAAACATGTAAATAAATCAAGTTCTTCAGAAAGGTAAGTTTACCTGTCCAACTGTAACAAATGCACTAAAAATGATTGCTCCCCATCTAATGCCAAACACTCTGTCAATGAGAAATCCTCCAAAGAAACACAGGATGACATTTGGCCAGGAATACCAAGCATAGAAGTTCATGAATGTTTCTGTAGAGATTGACAGGTCCCTCAGCATTATGTCCTGCATAGCGGCTGGGTTGTCATAGCAGAAGTAACTCCCTGAAAGAAAAAAATACGCAAGTCTGCAGAGGTGGATCCAGGATTACAGGGTAGGGGTGGATCTAGGATTATAGGTTAGGGGTGCACCTTGCATTGAATTGAAGGGCTATTAGATCCAATGGAACTCGGATAAATTTTCCGATTCCGAAAAATAAAAAAAAAGATCGGACCCACCAAATATTTATCTGGATCAATCATCCAAGATTTACAAGAATCCTAAAAGATAAAATTTACTGTGATTGTGATGAATTCCAGAATCGTACACATTCACATTGGCCAGGTTGGGTCGGCACCCTGGACTAGTGGTGTCAATTAAGGTCTCATGGAAGTTAACAGGAAATAACAAAACAGGAAGTGACAATTTTTTGGGCATTTTTAGACATTTTTTGAACAAAGATAACAGAGTTCTGGTTTGACCTCCAGTCAATTTAACTATTTCCACATATCATTTACATGACCAGGATCACAATGTGCATGGTCAGAATGACCCTAAACATGATGAAATAACCTTTTTAGTCCCTTGAAAGTGTGACTGAAAAAAAGCTAAAAGTAGGAGCTAGGGAAGGTCACTGAACAGAATCTTTTGAATTTTTCAGAAAATGTGCCCAATATAATGCTCTAACTGATACAATCTTTGAAATTTTAGAAAATTGTCGTAAACAAAAATGGCGGTCATAAAAAGGAAAATAGATCGCTTTTCAAATCAGTTTTTTCATTTTTGTTCTCTTTCTTTGAATGATATCAAATTTTCAAAGATTGTACCATTTAGAGCAATATATTGGGCACATTTTCTGAAAAATTCAAAAGATTCTGTTCAGTGACCTTTCCTACCTCCTTCTTTTAGCTATTTTTCAGTCACATTTTCATAGGGCTGAAAAGGTTATTTCATGATATTTAGGGTCATTCTGACCATAAACATTGTGATCCTGGACCTGTAAATGGTATCTGGAACTAGTTGAATTGACTGGAGGTCAAAAGTGAACTCTGTTATCTTTGTTCAAAAAATGTCTAAAAATGCCCAAAAAATTGTCACTTCCTGTTTTGTCATTTCCTGTTAACTTCCATGAGACCTTAACTGCTCGAGCATTAATCGGTTAACCAGGTGTTTTTACCGGGTTAAAGTCGGTTAACCGGCGGGAAATTAATATACAGAGAGTGGGGGGGATTATTTCTATGTTCCATTGCCTGTGAGAGGGATTCTATAATTCCAGCTTGAACATGGAATGAAGGGACTTAGGTTATTGGAAACTTGCAAAAGGGTTGAACTCGGCTTTGTAGTAAGCTATTGTCTGAACTACATTTGTATTGAGCCTACATTATCATATGTATGATTCATTGAAAGATGACAAAAAAAATTTTAAAATTTTTTATGTAGGCTAAAAATGAACTCACCAAAACTGAGGAAGCACATGATAACGAGAACCGGATACCGATGCACATTCCTCTTTGGGTTACAACAAAGAGTTCCTCCACAGCCATGCAATTCCACATCTTCATTGTCGGTGTTTATAGCGCTATTTGCAAGGAGGGGAGACTTTTCTTCTTCAGTCATTTTTCTTTTTCTGATCACAAGACGCTAAAGACACGCCACATGCATTTTTAAAATCTTACTATTCATTTGGCTATTCAGGTGAATAGTTGAGATTGAACCAAAGACAGAATAAGAAATGGTTAATTTGATTATATAATTGAAAGATTTAACAAGAATATCATGTGGAATATTGACTTTTATAAGATATCTAAAACAAACATTTGGCGTTTTAAATACGGAATGAATAGATGTAAACTTCCGGTTTTACCCGCGAACAACTAAATCTTTAAATTTATTAAATTATCTCCAATACGTAGCTCACAAATCCATAACAATGAGCTCAGCAAAAAGGGTATGTGCATTTTTATGTCCTCTGAAAACTATATGAGAATTGGTTATGATATGACAAAAAAATTGACCTTGGCTATATTTTATTTCAAACATTCAAAATTTTAAAAAATCAACAATGATCAAATGATTCCCTGGATTGGCTCCCAGGGTTCCAACTTGTTGTATCAATCTCTCTAAACAATTTGCTCAGTGTTGATATTTCTACAGCTGCAAGGAGAATATGTCTGATATTGTAGCAATAGCGATGACAACAAAAATGTGAAAGTGTCTTATCTACCTACAAGTTACTAAAGGTGTCACGGTTTCCCGATATTGGACTGAGTTTTGGTCCAGATACTTTGGTTGGAGACACGCGACAGAAAGGGTTAATATCGGTATGGTATCGGCACATAAATTCCTTCCCTAAAATGCATACAAATGTGTATAAATAGCGAGGAACACCTCCGATTTCGTTCTGAAAAATTAAATATTTTCACTCACCTCTTACCTAGATGACACTTCTTTGCATTGAAAAGTGTTATTAACAGACCCGTGATTTCAGGTAGGTAATGCTTGTTCGTAAATTTCTTAATCATCGTTCGCAAATCGAGTGCATTATCAGTATGCTGGATGTAGAAAAGAAATTGAAAAATCGAGCCGGCATCTAAGTAAAAAAAGTTGGCAGTTTGGAAGTATTTTGGGACTCCGATATCACAAGATAAATGAATTGGTGATAGTACATCGTGCAGATTATGTGAAATCGCGATCACATTCGCGGCAGATGCGTTATATTAGATTTTAATTAACGTTTTTTTATTTCTGAATATGATTTTGAAAATTGAAATTGCCATCATCAGACATTGCATCATTTTTCTTTAATGTTCTGTCCCGTCCTGAAAGTACCGTGTCCTGAGACCATTCGTACCATTCTGTACCATATCAAAATTTCTTTTGGTCTGTGACTGACAACTCTACAAGTTACTGGGTGTAAATTCATCATAGCAATCCAAAAGATATCATGATCACTCCTTATGTGTTTAGAAATTTCTTGTGGTTTATTATAAGACCAAAACTCCCGATTTGAAGGGAAAAATGCTGGGCTGTTAATTTTGATTTTTTTAATCATGGGTCATGACTTCCATACAGTGTACTGTACATGTATATGTCAGAATATCGAGATAGAATGCTGTTTGGGTTTTGATGTACTTATAGAGTAGAGTCTATATGATTTGAGTCTAAAATTCATTACAAAGTATCTCAAAGAGTACTAGAAGGTGGTGTCACTCAATCAATTCACTTTTTTAGGTTGGTGAGATTTTTACAGCAGCTGGTGAAGCATTCAGTCGTTTGGGAGAGCTTACAATGCAACTGCATCCGTCTGCAGAACCTTCACCAACAAGGTAACAGTTGCAAAGTATTTTTTGTTAAGTGCGATCATTTTTAAGCTTTTCTGATTTTTTCTCAACTTAAAGGCAGAATCAGATCAATGGGGTGACAAAATTACAAGCAACATGTACAATTGACCTACCAATCTTTTTCTTACAATCTCAAATATAATATCTCCCAAAAGATTCACGATATGTTATAAATTGGTGAAGTTATAATGGATTCAAAGTGCAAAAATGGGTGAAAATGTTTAAATTCTCCCAAATAATAAGAATGGTAACCATTTTTAAAGAAAGGTAATATGTTATCGTAAAAATTGTTAGTTTTCCTGAAATAAAGTGAGCACTTTGGGGATTTTTAAAAAATAGGCATGAAAATGAATGACATAAGCCAGGAATATTCTAAAATTGAAACAATTTTTTGTTAAGCTGCTCACTAGATCTGATTCTCTCTTTAATATCTGTCATGTCTGTCACATCATTATGATCACCTATCCTTTATTTTACAACTTTACTGCAAGGGGCCTTTAGTGAAGTACAAATATTATAAGGAACTATCTATACAGATTTTCAACTTTTTTGCCCAACACAACTTCTTCCCAAAAATGGTTTATGCGTCAAACAAACCTTATTAACTTAGATAAGCAATCAAAGGACCACAATACTAAAATAATGAAAAAATAGATGTAAAATATGTCAGATAAATAGAGATAAAAAAGTGTAGGGAAAACATCTGAAACAGCTCATTCAAATTTTATTTGAACAGCTCAGATGGCTCCATGACTTTTTTTAGTCAAAAATTTATTTCAGTTAATTATTTGAAATTTCAGTGGTAAATGGACAGATGCTGAAATAGAAATTTTACAAACAGCTGTCAAAAGATTTGGTGACGACCTTCAAAAAGTCAGTGAAATCATTAAAACTCGTACATTGTAAGTACAAATTTGATATATACAGCTGTACAAGGGGTGATCAATAGGTAAATGAAAAAGGGAGACTTATTAATGACTTATTGATCACCCCTTGTACATTGGAGTGGTCATGAAAAAGCGATTCTTTATCAATAGTTCATAACTTCTCTTTCTAATTGTTTTAGTGCAACATTTAATGATTTCTTTTTTAGCACTAATCTACTTATACCTTGGTCTCATTTGCTCCAATCTTCAATTCACAGGCACCCGCTGATGAGTATTTTATCCAAAACTGAATTCAATTTTGAACAAAATACTCGTCTGTCGGTACTGAAAATTGGTGCAAATGTAACCATGACATTAGTTATAATACTTCTTTCTTAAACATGGTTTAAAACATGACAACTTTAACTTGAATATATTCTTACTGGCATATTTCTTTTTATTTCTTTAATTTGTTTTGTTTCAGATAATTTAGAGAAAATATTGACAAAAATTCAAACTGAGTCTAGACTATGATGTATACTAAATTTTGGAATAACACAAACAACCCTTTTATACTTTATTAGACACTTTATTATCACAAATAAAATATAGGCATTCTAAACTAGTTATACCCTGCTGAGAACGGGTCTGGCAAGGTGGTAATAATATGTGATTAAAATTAAGTTGTGACATATATTCTGACATTAGATAGGCTCAGATCTCCATTCACTTGTTTATAAATATAAATTATTTATGTTTTCCATTCTGTGATTCATGTGTTATTTTTCAGATCACAAATTAAGACACAGTTAAAAAGAAAGGCTTTTGAGAATGCAGGTCTCACGACAGAGAAGTCCCCAGAGGGGAAAAAAGCAGAAAAAGCAACAGCAAAAAAATCAGGGCAACCAGCTTCTAAAAAACAAAAAACCTCAGGTAAAATCTTGTGTCTTTACTCTTGTTAGAATATACAGCAACACCAGTTTAGGGACTACTCCTTGTTGATTGAAACCATTCCTTGGAGACAGGATTTTCCTCAGAGGAAGAGACCGTCAACATTTAAGTCAATGGAAAAAATATTTGAAAACCCTTTGTGTACAGAGGTGTTCCTTACATTGAGGTTTTACTATTGTCTGTTTATGTACATGTTATGTACATAGTATTTTTATTACAAATACATAATAGTATCCAGCTCCTGTGTGTTAGTCAATTGAAAAATATTTGGTTATTTTGAAAAATATTTCATGAAAAGGGGAGTTTCTGACATGATGCAAGTAAATAAGGGCTCCGGGTGCTAGATGACACAGTATATTACTCTTATAAAGAGTATTATTTAAAAATTATTACAACATTGTGATAATTTTTAGAAAAGACAAAAGATATAAAAAATTTAATTTCTCCAGATGAATATTGTTAGAAGTAACTATTCGTGAAATAAATATTTCCAGAAGTAACTGTATGTAATGTATATTTCCATCATGAATATTTCCAGAAGTAGACTCTAACTCTAAATGTAATGAATATTTTCATTTTCAGAAGTAGACTCTAACTCTAAATGTAATGAATATTTCCAGAAGTAAATCTAAATGTAATGAATATTTCCAGAAGTAAATCTAAATGTAATGAATATTTCCAGAAGTAAATCTAAATGTAATGAATATTTCCAGAAGTCACCCTAAATGTAATGAATATTTCCAGAAGTAAATCTAAATGTAATGAATATTTCCAGAAGTCACCCTAAATGCGTTAAATATACCAGATGCTGACATTGACATAGAAGGTTTAGGACCAGACCAACAGCAGAAAAAGTTAGAGTTTGATTCAGGTAAGTTTAGGAAAATTATTCCATTTTTAAAGGATAAATCAAAGATATAAAGGTGACTAAATTGTAAGAAATATGTACCACACTCCCTCTAATAAATGTATACCCTACTTCATCATGAGATTTCTTCTCTAAGAGAATTTGGGAGAAACACTGTGGTTTTATTAGAGAGAATATGGTACCTTCTTTGTATCCTTTCAACATCTCAAATAAAGCAATTCCCAAAATGTCTTTGATATCCTATCAAATGTTCTTATGAATTAAAGGCAAACATTTGTAAATTCTTCACATTTATAGTAAATGTACATATGAATGTAAATATCTGTACTTTTGTCAAACAATAGACTAACATATGAAAAAGTATGTAACACTCCCCTACTCCTTCCTCAGTCATTATTCAGGAACCATACTACTTTATATCTTAAACCCGACACACAACTTATGCGACAAAAATGTGTGTGGAGAACTACCATATATTTTTTCTCCAATTTTTTTTGTGGATAGTGTTCAGCAGTTTCAGCAGTGATTGAAATTCAACGTTCAGCATAATAAATGGCAGGTGGTGACATTTTTGCATGTTAATGCTTTGTTTGAAGATTTTAACATGAGTTGCAAACTGAATGCAAACAAAACTAAGTGTATCGTTTTTCAATGTTTTTTCAGATGTAGATGGGTACATCTGAGTCTAGTGACCAGGAGTAAATCTCAACTTTATTTTAACATGGACACAATACATATACAGATATGTAGTATTACTAGACTGTTTGAAATATGGACTTCTATTGGAACAATGGTCTACTCCATTGTTTTGAATTAGATTTCTTCACTAGACTGTTTGAAATATGGATTTGTTGTCTAAGAACTTAGACTGGAATATTGGTTGATGGTGTAAAAAACTTTTTAAAGTGTTTTGAAACCTTGGAACCTGGATTAAAATCTAATATGAAGTATTTAAGCTTGAGGGTTTAAAGTGTAAATTAATCACTGTCAGTAAAAAGAGCAATTAAATAAAAAACAATATATGAGTAGAAACAGAAATAAATACATAAAACAAAATATACAATAAATACAAAACAATGTCGGTTTTACACTTGTTATTTTATTCATGTACATTTCTTTCATTACAGCTGGACTCTTTAGTGGTGTATAAAGAGTGTATAAATATACAGGTACATGCAATCTTTTTTACAAATCTACCCTTCATACCTTCATGGTAATTTATAATATCAAAGCAACAGCCAATGAACTGTGAGTAATGAGAGAACTGACAATTCCAGACATTGTCCATATGTAAAATAGCCCCCTTTCAGCAATGAAGAGATCAACTTGTATCCATATTCAAATTTATAGAGTCAAATTACCCCATTAGCTTCAAAAGCTAAAATCAAATTCTACAACTGTTTCAATTAAATCAGGACAATTGGTCAGAAGGATATGACATATGGATACAGAGTAATCATTTTGTTCCGAATGAACACTATTTTGATATATAGAATATCTGGATTTGTCAATTTTCTTGACAGCCGTGGAAAGCATGTCCAATTCCTCAGATGCGAGTAGGTAGTTACCTGTTTCGCCACCAGGTGCAGTGGCTGATTCGGGGGAAATAACATGGCAGGGTATTACAAAATTTCATTAAACTTGAATATGCATCAGTTTTAGTGGTTTACTTTTCAAATTACCCTTATGTATGTGATAGTTATACAAATTAAAATATGTCCAGTAAAAGAAAACATTACTTGCCCAACACAAGAAAAGATATTTCACTTTTTGTAGTTTTACAACATGGGGTCTATGGGGAATCTCCCCAACCTAGAGGTCACATTTTCAAAGAAAGTAATATTTTCAATGTTGTTAAACTCTTTTCAAAACCACATTTTTAGATGTAATTTTATATGTAAATTCCAAATATGACACCAGTTTGACTTAATTGTGAATTTTTAATGATGTAAATCAAGATTATTTCTACTCCTATCTAGGATATTGCTACTCATTTTTGGCGCTGGACAGCGGTGAAAAGTGAAGCTGGCACTCCAATGCAGTCTCGATTCGACATCATCAATCACTGTACGTGAATATTGGGTCATGCCAGTAAAATAGTTTGACATGTGTACCCCAAGCCAAAAGTCAAAAGACAAACAACAATTTCGTTGATAAAAAGACTTTTAAACTTGCAATTAAACAACAATCTTTATCAAATAAAGAAGGGACTTCTATGAAATGAAATGTACAATTATATTTTGTTCTCACAAAACCTGCATTAAAACAGCAATACGAATAAAGTAACAATTATCTTAAGTAAACAAGAAACAGACTAAAACCTTTAAATATGTGACTGTAATCAATCCAGCCGAAACATCTGTGAAATCGAAGGAACAATCGTGAAAATGACACCTTAACAATCGATCTAGTATAAACCACAACATCTTTTAAATGTTACTTCATCAATTCAGTAAACTATTCCACTTATGGTTATGAACTTAAGTGTTTAAGAGTCCGGATTTGAATTGCTACTTTTTAAAACACTACATCAAGCGAAGATATGAGCTATAAATCTCACTTATGTATACCACAGTTTTGTATCACCAAAAGGGGGCCAGGATATATCAGAATGGTCTGATTTACTGAATTTCAACATAGTGCTGAACGTAATAGACAAGGACAGTGATATAAATTCGTACCACATACAATCAATCTGTATCACTGACAGGACAAGTCCATTCTGTTGGGTAACGTCCATTTAAGGAAAATATAGAGGAAGGGTTACATATATTCTACTGAATCAACATAGTGCTGAATTTAATAGGCAAGGACAATGATATATGTTCATACCACATACAATCTGAATCACTGACAGGACAAGTCCCTCCTGTTGGTAAACGTCCATTCAAGGAAAAGATAGAGGAAGGGTTACATATATTCTACTGAATCAACATAGTGCTGAATTTAATAGGCAAGGACAATGATATATGTTCATACCACATACAATCTGAATCACTGACAGGACAAGTCCCCCTGTTGGGTAACGTCCATTCAAGAAAAAGATAGAAGAAGGGTTACATATATTCTACTGAATCAACATAGTGCTGAATTTAATAGGCAAGGACAATGATATATGTTCATACCACATACAATCTGTATCACTGACAGGACAAGTCCCCCCTGTTAGGTAACGTCCATTCAAGGAAAAGATAGAGGAAGGGTTATCTACCATTCTACTGAATCAACATAGTGCTGAATCTAATAGGCAAGGACAATGATATAAATTCGTACCACATACAATCTGTATCACTTGTGACAGAACAAGTCCCTTCTGTTGGATAACGTCCATTTAAGGAAAAGATAGAGGAAGGGTTACATATATTCTACTGAATCAACATAGTGCTGAATTTAATAGGCAAGGACAATGATATAAATTCATACCACATACAATCTGTTTCACTGACAGGACAAGTCCCCCCTGTTGGGTAACGTATATTCAAAGAGCACATAGAGTTAGGGTTATATACTATTCTACTGAATCAACATAGTGCTGAATTTAATAGGCAAGGACAATGATATATGTTCATACCACATACAATCTGAATCACTGACAGGACAAGTCCCCCCTGTTGGGTAACGTCCATTCAAGGAGCACATGGCGCAGGCATTGTACCACCAAGGCCCAGTGAACAAAGTTGCACAACTGTTCGTGACAGCGTCATCGTTATCGGAATCTTGTGTACTGAATGGGTAGCCATTAGTCGCTTCAGCTGGAGAAGCTAACCACCCACCGAAGCAATCCCCTGCGTTTCCACTGTACCCGAGTGCATTGACCGTGTATAGGCTCGCTTCGTCACCAACTGTGAAATTTGTGTACATTGCCTCGTATTCATTCGTGTTGAAGTATGTCAGCTTGATTTTCAACTTTGTAGGAGTAGATCCATTTGTTAAAGCATGGATATGTTCATTTCCCAACCAATGCTCACCAGACACACTGCCAAATCCTGATTTATACTCTGCCCAATTTCGGTAGAAATCAATACTGCCATCTTCCCGTCGCTGAATTCGAACCCACCCTCCATCGACTAAATCTTCGCAGTATACTTGCAATGGGGTCGAATACGTCGGGGGAAGAATCTCATAGAGTCCATCTTGTGTGACCCCTCGAGATGAAATTTCTGAACAACTAACAGGAAGCGGGAGGCAGTCAGACGGCTAAAATATATAAAGTCAAAATATTAGAAAAATGACTAATTTAGTAGAATAAACAAATATTTCATTCCAAAGACGATAATGTAAATTATGTTTCATATTAAAGATAATGCCCAATACTTTTGTACAAATTATGTATCATGTTCAAAAATTCTATTTCAAGCAAAATTACGTCATTGTGTACATGTACTTTAGAAATAATCAATGATGTGGGGTTGAAACATATGGCAGTGGTGATTGGGCGTATTTGGAAATCATTCATCAATTTTCATGTATTATAAAATGGACCCATATTAGTATCTTCCTTGCAAGACAATTTCCATTTATGGAATACTATGATGAAATACATGAGACAAGACATTAACATACAAAAGGCTACTACATGCCATTTGTTACAGACATCGAAAACCGTCCACAAAAAAAGTTGGAGACTATAACACACTACCCTACCTCGATAGCGCATGCGCGAATTTTTTGGCTTTCAATCAGGTCGCTTTTGAGTATATCGACTGCTTAGTGAAAAGGTTAATACGTTTGGTGCTCGGAGTGAGTCAATATTGCTATTCGCTGAACTTCAGTGGTGCAATAGTGAAGTCCATGTTCCAAGTTATATGATAGTTGAAGAAATAATGTAAATAATATCGTTTTAAATTTTAAAATATTTGATATGTCATAATACACGGTACACAGCTGCAAAAGTTGATCAATACAGGGTACAAGGAATGTAAATTGTTCAATAGTACAGGGAGCGAGAAAGTAAGCTGATTATACAGACATACTATGTCCCGATCTCATGTATATTTACGTTGCAAACAGTGAAAATAATACTAAAAAGGCCGCCTGTTGATGCTGTAGAGGTGATATGACGTCGTATTTCTCTATTATTGTAAAAAAACCTAATACTAGATCGATGTAGTCTTATATGACGTGTTGAATGTCAGATGTTTTTGGATGGTATCTGCTCCAGTGATTTTGCATTTAATCATGAAACGCTCATCACAAGACACCTCGAAACAAACATTATCCTCCTTGTGACAAGAGGAAAAATGTTTCACAATATGTTATGCCTTACGGCAAAGTAAAGATACATTTCTGGAACGACTATTTTGCATCTTAAGATTTTAGAAAAACAATTAATTCACAAAAGTACAGTTGAATAACATACTTGAAAACGTATCCACATATAACACGATGACAAGCAGTTTAAATAACAGTTTACTGGGGTTTTGTTACATATCAATGTAACATTTTCGAAGGGAAACTTACATGCTCCCTGTACGTTGACAGATTTACTGAAATGTATCGTGTATTGCATTAAGTTTTGCTTCACTGCGACCACTATTATCTATCTTTGCCTATAGTGGTTTTTTGCCAACAATATTCTACAAACTGCTTGATGAATCAATTCTATGTCTGGTAGAACACTAAAAATAAATGTAAAATGTATTTTACGTTCAGAAATATGGAATTAAACCCACGTCCTCCATTTGCAACTTAGCTGTACCCTGTTTCCCTTTTAAACGTGGTCACGTGGTAGGGTAGTGTGTATAACAATATGTCACCACTTGTGGTGATGCCATAATAACAGTATGTAAACTGCAATTAGGCTCTCGTTTGATTGATATAAAATCACATACACGTTTCAATGTATGGTAAATGTGAACCGACAATCCCTGTTCTCAGCCATGTCAGCTCTGTCAAATAATGTAGACTACATGTACCTGCGCGCAGAGTATAGTAATAAACTACTGAGGAACGATTCCATTAATCTTACTTTTGAAAAGCTATATCAAATAATATAACCAGACTCCATTAAAGGCCCACTTTGGGAATTTTTACCACATTTTTTGACACCACATCAAAGCATCAAGAAATTTAATATTTTCAATCTGTCCAGCTTTTCTATCAAGTTTTTATCAATGTCATCGAAATCTGGCAAAGTTGTTTGTATTACATGATACACCCATTTTTATAAATGTGTCGCCATCTTTTAAATCAATAGTAATTCAAAACATGCACTTTGTTTAACATGTGCATGCATGTCTTATGATCTCTGAACTTAAAATGCCTTTTTTCTATGTGATTTATCTTTTTATTGGTTCAATATTAAATGAAAACAAACTTTGTGTCATATTTGAGCAAGTGTGTGAATACCATGTTTCAATGATTATATTTTTATTTTTTTGTTCTAAATTAAGTATAGTGCGCCTTTAACCATTGATGAGTGCAGCGTCAGGGTTATTGGAACCTTTCCAACAGATAAAAGATTATTGAATTATTTTTACCCGACGTCCTTGAGGCTAGAATCGTGATCATATCAAAAGCACCATTGTTTTGGCTTTTTGAACACATGTCATAATATCGACAAAGGCTCCCAAAGAGGGAGTTCAGATTCTGGGCTCACTTGAATGAATAAACGCAAGGAGATAACGCGTCTCGAACTGACGACCTCGTGGTTACGGCGACAGTGGTTAGCTAAGCATCTTTAGTGCATTATTGTTACAAAGTTATTCAATTTTAGTTAGCCAAATATTGTGAATTGTATGTTATTCATTAGCCTGTCATTTTTTTGATAACTGAATATGTCATCTTTAGATCCATAGTATTGTCTATTTTGATATTCTTGTCACTTCGTTATTTGTGTAATACTATATTACTTCGTTATTTCAAGATTAGTCAGATCAATAATCAAAATCATCACTTGGAAGCATATTTCTCCTTTTATTTCTGCAACTCTACACCAGTTATGACATTATCCTTTCGGAGCCCCATATAGGTATCAGAATAAATATAATTGTAGATAAGAAATGGAGAAAATATATCAATATCCTGTTTGTTATTTACTATTGGTTCATTATTGGTAATTGTATTGAAAAAGTATTAAATTATTTATTAAAGTCATAAAGAAGGTCAAGTCAAAAACCTCATGGCAATTCACACATCGTCGATATATCTATATCAGTTATCTAGTTCCAATATGTGTCTATCTATATGCGTCATTGAATTATCAATACAGAAAACGTGTAGTTGTCACTTAGCAATTTCAAATTACAAGTATCGCCACGTTCAAATCACGTCTTTGACTTTATAGAACAGCTTGGTAAGACATGGATCCATTGTATGATTTGCTTGATATTTTTTTACCATGCAGTTACATTCTCAAATCACGCACAGTCAACATTAAATAAACCGTATACAGCCTACAGACTCCACATTAAGCTGCCAGCTTGTGAACATTTTCATATCATGTTCATATCACGTCAAATTCTTCCAATAATCATTCCTGTCCCCTAAGGTAAAATCATTACTTCAGACCGAAACGTGACTGATATTTCTTCAATTGGTTTAAATAACACGATTCAAAGGCTTCAATAATGATATTCGATCTAAAGGAGAAAATCCAAAGGAAAGACTTTTTAATGAAAATGTATTTTGATACGTTTCTGATACTTAAGACAAATCTCTTTCAATTACAGCCCGATAATCTTGTTATAACCATCCTTGTTTCAGAATCAAATAACCTGATACAATATAACATTTTGTTGCTATTCCATTCTTTGCATGTAATTTGGGTTACAAATATACGATGTATGTACGCCATTTGTATTTAGAAAATTTGAATTTATTTTGAAATAAATTCTGACCATTCTGACTATTTTTTGAGTGATCTTTGGCCAAAGGAGTGGTATCAATATGGAGAACTTTTTGAACACACGTCTCTTTTAAACCAGTCATAGAAAAAATCAAAACATTTAACACATCGTCAATTTAATGGTCATCTTTTGAATGGCAACAATATAATTACTCAATCTGCCGGGCGCCGTAATGAAAATCGTAGCAAATGTGACCAAGGCATTACAGAACCACTACACAGCTCACATAGCTGGTTACCATTGTCATGATTGAACGGACAACAAACAAAACTTAATGTCAAACCCCTCAGTATACGTTGTGCATACAAGTAGATATTGCCTAAAAAATCTAATACTTACAGCAAACCCGTCTGAGAAGTAGTATGTTTTAGTCGCCGTTGCCTCAATTGAACAATCGGATTCAAAACCTATATGGATCTCGCATAGCTGGTTATCATTGTCGTAATTGAATGCCACACAACTTCTCTGTACGCAGTGAAACAGACAATGGTGTTTAGTAGTTTGAAAGAAAGCTTCAATAGGTTGTTGAATCAGTGCATGACCTCGATACATGCTGAATAGCACTCCAGTCGTTCCATTGACATCTGAAAAATTGAAAGAAATTATCTTATGAAATAATAGATAGATATAGACATGGACGCCCGAAGGGAGGGGGGGATGCGTTTGGTGCAACAACACATACCTTTTGATCAAATCATTTGAGTTATTTACCCAGGGGATTTCGTTCATTTTGTTTAGGAAAAATCTTGAAGGAAATAAGAATACCTTTGTAAGTGTAACACTTTTACAGTCCCTTGACCCACTGACTTAATGTTAATCAAACTTCCCTAAATCGAACACATCCTAAGTGGAACACTTTTCACAGTCCCTTGACCCACTGACTTAATGTTAATCAAACTTCCCTAAATCGAACACATCCTAAGCGGAACACTTTTCACAGTCCCTTGTCCCACTGACTTAATGTTAATCAAACTTCTCTAAATCGAACACATCCTAAGCGGAACACTTTTCACAGTCCCTTGTCCCACTGACTTAATGTTAATCAAAATTCTCTAAATCGAACACATCCTAAGTGGAACACTTTTCACAGTCCCTTGGCCCCCTGACTTAATGTTTATCAAACTTCCCTAAATCGAACACATCCTAAGTGGAACACTTTTCACAGTCCCTTGACACACTGACTTAATGTTAATCAAATTTCTCTAAATCGAACACATCCTAAGTGGAACACTTTTCACAGTCCCTTGACCCACTGACTTAATATTAATCAAACTTCTCTAAATCGAACACATCCTAAGTGGAACACTTTTCACGGTCTCTTGGCCCACTGACTTAATATTAATCAAACTTCTCTAAATCGAACACATCCTAAGCGGAACACTTTTCACAGTCCCTTGGACCACTGACTTAATATTAATCAAACTTCTCTAAATCGATCACATCCTAAGTGGAACACTTTTCACAGTCCCTTGACCCACTGACTTAATATTAATCAAACTTCTCTAAATCGATCACATCCTAAGTGGAACACTTTTCACGGTCCCTTTACCCCCTGACTTAATATTAATCAAACTTCTCTAAATCGATCACATCCTAAGTGGAACACTTTTCACGGTCCCTTTACCCCCTGACTTAATATTAATCAAACTTCTCTAAATCGATCACATCCTAAGTGGAACCCTTTTCACAGTCCCTTGACCCACTGACTTAATATTAATCAAACTTCTCTAAATCGAACACATCCTAAGTGGAACACTTTTCACAGTCCCTTGGCCCCCTGACTTAATGTTAATTAAACTTCTCTTAATCGATTACATCCTAAGTGGAACACTTTTCACGGTCCCTTTACCCCCTGACTTAATGTAAACCAAACTTCTCTAAATCGATCACATCCTTAGTGGAACACCTTTCACAGTCCCTTGACCCACTGACTTAATGTTCATCAAACTTCCCTAACTCGAACACATCCTAGTGGAACACTTTTAGTGAAACAAATGGCATTCCACTTACACATGTTTTAATGTATTATTAATACTAGTTTATTTAATCATATTGGAATCAATTTCTTAGACTAATATTCTGAAGTGAAAGTTGTCCTTTTACAGTTGTAAACCTGCTATCAGATTTTCATTTCATGAATCCTCCTCGTATAACTATCATTTCCTTGCAAAAATCAACATCACCCTGTGGGAATAAAAAAATAATCTTTTCCTTTTTCCAATTTTCCTACATTAAAAATATTTCTCATGTGCAAAAGTGCAAGGTTTAATGTATGCAATGTAGATGTAATATAGTTTTGCATAAAATGGTTTAAGATTTCTAATATGACTAATTTTAATGGATTTTATAAGGCTTGTAAAATATTGATAATCCATGACTGACCCATTACTTCAAAGTTTAAAATAAATTTTCTGAACTTACCTTTGAAAATTCCAAATAAAATAAAATAGAAATATATTCTTGGATTGCAGAGCATTCTTTTTCTTTCTTCTTGATCCTCTCTATGACAACTTATTTCTCTATTAACGTTAACCCCCTTTACAATATCTTTGAATACTTGAATATATCTATTTTTCTTTTATAGTCGCTTCGAATTCGTTCATTTATCAGATATTGGGTATTCGATATAAGTATTGTAAGACATGTCTAATTCACACACTTAATTTTCACAAATTCAGTTAGTTTCATAGATTTTTGGTACATTTTAAAGACTTTTTACACAGTAAACACATTGTAAGCCGACATGCCAATTTGATATTACATGCATATCTGAAAACAGGCCAAAATACTGAAAATGACAAATGTTGGATATTGAGGAAATTTTGCTGAGAGTTTTAAGGATGTGGATTGTTTTTAAATTTAAATTCACTTAAAAGGCACATTTCGGCCTAAATGAGAAAAAAACTAGAAATTAATATCTTGCATTCGCACCCATTCCTGGTATTTATATACAAATCGTACACATTAATATTGTTACGCGGTATATGGCATACATTCATGGTTGCGCGGTATTTGTGATACGGGTGAATATGCCATACTCACCTGCGGTATATGGCATATTCCGCAGGTGAGTATGCGATATTCCGCAGTGAATATGCAATACATTGATTTCAGTGAATACCCGATACTCACCTGCGGAATATGTCATACTCACTTGCGGAATATGCCATATACCGCAGGTGAATATGACATATACCGCAGGTGAATATGACATATACCGCAGGTGAAAACGTGATACAGAAAGCCTTTATTTGATTGGTTGCTAGAATCGACTCTAAATGTAAAACTACACTGGATAACCAATATAGTTAGTGCGTCGAGTACTAATATATGAATCCTGGATTGATTGAGTAAGTTTATTACGCGAGATTGGTGACTGATACTTCTGCTAAGTTAATATATTCGATACACAGTACTGTTGATTCAGTAATCATTGTAATAATTTATAACGTTTTACTTGTTCGTTCAATCTATGCAATTGACTTAATTGCGTACTTCCGTATCACGTTCTCATTGGTTAGTGTGTATGCCATATACCGCAGGTGAATCTGTCATACACCGCAAGTGAATATGCCATATTCGTTGCGGAATATGACATATTTTTGTATCGTGTTTACCGCGTAACAAATATCGCCATCCAGAACTACAAATGTAACATAATGATGCGTTTAACAGTAACCGGACCAGGGAAAACGCTGACACTGCTTAAACACCTTGATATGTCAAAAAGCATTATTCTTTATGTTATTCAATATTCTACAATTAATAAATGTTTTATTTATTCTTCTTTAATCTGTTTTGATATTGGACTAAAAAGTAATGCATTGAAAGATCTGAGTAAATTTACAATATCGGAATGGTACAAATAAAATGCTCTTAATATGATTGTATCCACGTTAGTTTATTGAAATGTTTCGTCTTCACTCAATAAATGTATTTCATCGAACATCTAACTAATCAACCCTTTTGTTATTTATTCAATTTATTTATCGTACCTTCCTTCTATATGGTCTTGGAATGTATAATTACATAAATATGATTAAGTTGAAAATCGTCATTGACGGGCACGCACGGTAATCCGGCGCTTCATAAGTTATACGCGATATTTGTTCATTTACCAATCAGGGGGGGGGGGAGGTGGTGCAAGCAACACCTCCCCCCCCCCCCCATGACAAAATATTGTTTCAAAATCATACAGTTTTTCACCATGTTGAATACTTTTCAAGTGATTTGAGGTTAAACTGGTCATATGACGCTCCCTTCGAAAGGGCTATTCTCGGTTTGAAGAACGAAGTTTACATAATATAGATTTGAATGACATTTCTAGATTTTTCATAAAAAGTACACTGACAAGGCATTAACATGACAAAATGTCACCACCTAAAACAATTTGGTCAATTTAAAGCAAGTTGGAAAATACCTTTTGACATTAAGAAGGTTTGATTTGAACTTCTTAGAACATGTAGATGATTTTGAAAAAAATTCGTCAATTTGAAGCAAGTTGAAAAAATACCTCTTTGACTTTTTTTGACATTGAGAAGGTCATTGAAGGTCAAATGTCAAGTCAGATTTGAACTTCTGAGAACATGTGGATGATTTTGAAAAAATAATTAAGTAAATTTGAAGTAAGTTGAAAAAAGACCTTTTTGACCTTGAGAAGGTCATTGAAGGTCAAATGTCAAATCTAAAGTCAGATTTGAACTTCTGAGAACATGTAGATGATTTTGAAAAAAAAATTAGTCAATTTGAAGCAAGTTGAAAAAAGACCTTTTTGACCTTGAGAAGGTCATTGAAGGTCAAAGGTCAAATCTAAAGTGAGATTTGAACTTCTGAGAACTTGTAAAAGTCAAATTTGAACTTCTGAAGAGATGTAGATGATTTTGAAAAAAAAATTTGGTCAATTTGAAGCAAGTTGAAAACAGACCTTTTTGATCTTTTTTGACCTTGAGAAGGTCATTAAAGGTCAAATGTCAAATCTAAAGTCAGATTTGAATTTCTGAGAACATGTAGATGATTTTGAAAAAAAAAATTAGTCAATTTGAAGCAAGTTGAAAAAAGACCTTTTTGACCTTTTTTGACCTTGAGAAGGTCATTGAAGGTCAAATGTCAAATCTAAAGTCAAATCTAAAGTCATATTTGAATTTCTGAGAACATGTAGATGATTTTGAAAAAAAAAATTTAGTCAATTTGAAGCAAGATGAAAAAAGACCTTTTTGACCTTTTTTTGACATTGAGAAGGTCATTGAAGGTCAAATGTCAAATCTAAAGTCAGATTTGAATTTCTGAGAACATGTAGATGATATTGAAAAAAAAAATTAGTCAATTTGAAGCAAGTTGAAAAAATACCTTTTTGACCTTTTTTTACTTTGAGAAGGTCATTGAAGGTCAAATGTCAAATCTTAAGTCAAATCTAAAGTCAGATTTGAATTTCTGAGAACACGTAGATGATTTTGAAATTTTTTTTAGTCAATTTGAAGCAAGTTGAAAACAGACCTTTTTGACCTTTTTTGACCTTGAGAAGGTCATTGAAGGTCAAATGTCAAATCTAAAGT